ACGTTATGACCATCTGTCAAGACAAAAAAGGCAGAATTTAGAGCGTCAAGTTGATTTTCTTTTTGGGGTTAATTAAAAAAAATTACCAATTTTAGGTAGAAGGACAATTTTAATCCGAACTTTTTTTTATTCCGTAAAAAAACACAAATTTTAGGTCGAGGGATAATTTTGGCTCGAACTTTTTTTTTTCCCGTAAAAAAACATCAACTTTAACTCAAATGACAATTCTGGCCTCAATTTTTCTTTGTCTCTAAAAAAGCACTAACTTTCACTTAAATCCCAAATCTGGCCACTATTGACTTAGAATAATTTATTATCTAACTTGACTATTCCACTTTAGCAATAAAATTTGCATGGATTGTTGACTGGACTTAAAGTAATATTTATTGTCTTATTCTCTGAGCCATAATTTGAAAAATAACAGTGAAACTGTTCGTCTCCTTCACTTCATCCGTAAGTCCAAAATATCTCCATATTAAATCTCTCTAGCTAGACATAATCTGAAGCTAACCACTACCTATCGGCAGATGTCATGGACGAGATTAACCAAGCTCATCACTATAACCTTTTTTTTTCAAACAATGGTGACTTCAGACAGAAAGTCAATAGGAGGCAGATTTGAGATCATGGTGAAAGTTGGTGATATTTTATGAGACAAAAAATTTGGAAACAGAATTGTCACTCGACCTAAAGTTGATGCTTTTTTATGGGATAAAAAAAAGTTCGGATCAGAATTATCTCTCAATCTAAAGTTGGTGTGTTTTTATGGGGCAAAAAAAAAATTTGGATCAGAATTATTCCTCAATTTAAAGTTGATGCATTTTTTTGAAATTAAGCCTTTCTTTTTTGGCATTCTTATGACGAAAGTACTATCATATTCATATCTCTCTCTCTCTCTAAAATTCCTCAGATCCTCTTCACCTCTCCCTCACTCTCTCATATCTCACGGCCGATTCTCCTTTGTCATCTTGCTACCTCAAACTGGAACCGCACTCAACGACTACGCTGGAGAAATAGAATCCGGTTTCATTTCAATCCTCCATGGTGACGAATGCTGGCAACGAGACTGGGGTTCCAACTATTGGAGGAGGGGAGTGGAGGAGGCACAATCATTTGTGGTGCTCGAAGGATCGGATCGTGCTCCTAAAAAACATAGCTGAATTTCAAGAATAGAAAAAAATGGATTGCCTACTCAATTTCCCCGCTTTTAATACTTTCCTTCAAGATAATAAGGCGATCTTCGAGTACTCTTATGAGCCATGTGAAATAAAAATCAAGATGGCGATGTTGAAGAGGAGGTTGCCTAAAAGAATAATAAAGAGTGACTTTGTTAAGACCGAACAAGACGAGACTCTTGTCAAACTATACAAGAAGCTCTGGCATGTGGAGGGTAGCGACAAAGGAGAGTCGGAGTTGGAGCCCCACTCAGCAATCCCGTCAGAGTCCGCTGCTAAGAGGGCAAGAAAGGCCAGCGGCGATGGGGCAGAGCTGTCAATCCCGCCGGAGTCCTCTAGTAAGAGGGCAAGAAAGGCCGGCGGCAATGGGGCCGAGCCGTCAGTCCCTAGGAAGAAGACTAAACGACTGTGGTCCAAGACAGACAAGGCAAACATTAGAGCGTCAAAGTTGATTTTCATTTTGGGCTTTTTTTGACGAAAGTACTATCATATTCATCTATCCCCGCCTCTCTCTTTCTCTCTAAAATTCCTCAGATCCTCTTCACCTCTCCCTCACTCTCACATATCTCATGGCCGATTCTCCTTTGACATCCTGCTACCTCAAATCGGAACTGTGCCCAACGACTACGCTGAAGAAGAAGAATCCGGCTGCATTTCAATCCTTTATGGTGACGAATGCTGGCAAAGGGACTGGGGTTCCAATTATTAGAGGGGGGGAGTGGAGGAGGTGCAATCATTAATGGTCCTCGAAGGACCAGATCATACTCCTCTGAATCATGGCTGAATTTCAAGACCAGAAAAAAATGGATTGCCTACACAATTTCCTCGTTTTTAACACTTTCATTCAAGATAATAAGGTAATCTTCGAGTACTCTTACGAGCCATGTGAAATAAAAACCAAGATGGCGATGTTGAAGAGGAGGTTGCCTAAAAGAATAAAGAAGAGTGACTTTGTTAAGACCGAACAAGATGAGACTCTTGTCAAACTATACAAGAAGCTCTGGCATGTGGAGGATAGTGACGAAGGAGAGTCGGAGCTCGAGGCCCACTTAGCAATCCTGCCGGAGTCCTTTGCTAAGAGGGAAAGAAAGGCCGGCGGCGATGGGGCGAAGCCTCCTCTGACCAATCAAGGAGCTTCTTGGCGAAGTGAAGGTAATCAGTTCGAAGAGAAGGTGTCAGTGTAACATCATATAGCTGACGTCCAGCTCAGAATTTCCGATTTAAGCTTCGGAGAAGAAGGTAAAAACGCTTCCTTATTAACCACCTGTTTGTCAAAAGTCCAGAATGATGATCAGAGTTTTATTCAGCGTGATCTTGAAATTCTACTTATGATTTTGTGATTTATGATGCCTTAAACATGTTTCTAATCATTTATTTTGTCATTTGATGCATTTTGGATTATGATTGTGTGAAAACTATGAGTCGGCCTCCATGATCATTCTCGCCAGAGCTCGCAAACCTCGTCGGAATGCTTTCCAATTGCCAACGGCCGTTCAAGTTAATTGTTTCTAATCCTATTTGGTGTTTGATTGTTGTTTTGATTGCTAGAAATGGCTAGGGCGCTTGGTTTGTTGATCTGAATATTAGTTTAGCTTAGTTTAGGATATCATTTCCATTTTTAAGTAAGGAAGTTTGAGCTTGAATATCAGTGATTTAGGGAAGTTCAATGACGATCTATTGAATATGGATGTGTAGAGTGTCATTCAGTGATGGTTTTGGATTGGCTAGATTGATCAGATGGTCGCTGGAATTAGGTTTATAATCACGGCGTTGAATAGAAAAGAAAGGGATAATGCACACAACATATTCGACCAAATACCACAAAGAAGAGGAGGGAAATGGCGCCGTTTTGGCACCGTTCCGGCCGGAGAATCGACTGGCGCCGGCCAAGTCGGTCCGAACCGATTTGGTCTGGTTCAACCCGGAATAAAAAAATCATAAAAAATTCAGAAAATCCTAAAAATATAGAAAATACAGAAAATTCATAAAAAATTAGAAAATCCTAAAAAATTAGAAAATTCAGAACATCCTAAAAAATCAGAAAATTCAGAAAACTAAAAAAATAGAAAATTCAGAAAATCCTAAAAAAAATTAGAAAATTCAAAAAATGTAAGAAAAAAATGAAAGTTTAGCCTTTTTGGAAATAAAAATTAAAAAAAAATAAAAAATTTCAAAATTTCGCAGAATAGCTTAGAATACCTGTGGTCACCCACTTTAAGTGAAATTTAATTTTTTTGAGGTGCCAAAATGGTATTTTTGAAGACTCCTTAGTTTAGGGATTTAAAAGGGGTTTTAACCTCTAAAAAACCCTAAAACCCCCAAAAGGAGCTCTACCCTTAAAAAACCCTAAGACAACATAATTCATTGAATGAACAAGCCTTTAGGGCTTTACTAGGGTTTGAGTGTTTTGACCGATTTTCATTTTAGAGATCATTTTAGGATTGTTGTGTTTGATTGGAATTGATTGTGCATTTCTTTATTGATTGGTTGGTTTCTTCCAATTAGAATGGTTAGAATTAATGTATAGGCCTTGCGAACTCACTTTGAGTGAAATTTAAATTTTTTTAAGTGTCCAAATGGTATTTTTGAAGACTCCTTAGTTTAGGGACTTAAAAGGGGTTTTAACCCCCAAAAGGATCTCTGCCCCTAAAAAACCCTAAGACAACATAATCCATTGAATGAACAAGCCTTTAGGGCTTTATTAGGGTTTGAGTGTTTTGATTGATTTTTATTTTAGAGACCATTTTAGGATTGTTGTGATTGATTAGACTTGATTGTGCATTTCTTTATTGATTGGTTGGTTTCTCCCGATTAGAATGGTTAGAATGAATGGATAGGTTTTGCGAATTCGCATGACGCGTGAAGACACTTAGGATCTTTTAGGTACCGAAAGTACGTTAGAGATCTCGATTTGGGATCTTTAGCGTAACCAAGTCCCCTTACCTATGTAATCTTTGGTTCACAGAAATTAGGATGGTTCTCCCTCGTCTTTATTAGGTTTCTAGTCGACCAATAAGGACTAGTGGCGACTCCAAAACAAAACTTAGGATAAATAAGAGAAAATTAAAAAAACAAATATCCGTTGTCTCGTAATGTATGGTCAAGGAGAGATCGTGTGTCTAATGATGGGATGTCTGTGAGACGTTTGGGTGAAATATCCGTTTCAGACCTTAGTAGCTCATTCGGGGACAGTTTGCTCATTCGTGACTAACAAAAGTACCTCCAAAGGTGTGCAAAAGGGCAGCGCGACAGGTTTGGTGACTCCATTGGGGAAAGATTTTCTAGTGGACTTAGGCCTAGTTTAAAATGATATGCATGTGTTTTGTGCTCACGCAAGGATTTGAGGTACGCCCTACTAATGATTGTGTTAAATGGTTTTGTAGGTGGGAGATATAAGGGGTGTAGTCTTTGTTAACCTTTGTTTTGCAGGGAGGTGTTGAGATGGGTGTGACGTGATTATTTTAAAAGTGCTGTTTGGTTATAAATTGCTATGCATGCTTTTAAATAACCTTAGCACGACACTATTCGCACATACCACCCGTGGCCCAACCCCGGCTACAATTAGGATTACCTTTAAGGGGTATGTATTTAAGCGAAACTATGGACCGATTGCTCATGGGATCATTTAAATTCATAATGATCACTAAGACGGAATAATATTCCATTATTTTAGGTCGCATGCTTATTGGGGTGGAATCCCTTCTCTGTTAAGGTAATGATCGCAAACCTTTAGCCTATCCTACCCTTGGGTGTCGAAACCTCACTTGTTGCATCTGCATATCTTTGTATTTGATATTACAAAAATCACCTCGGTAATGATAAATATCATTCCTCGTCCTGATGGGTGTTCCAAGTTTCAGCTACTATGTCCAAGAATTTTGGATGAGTAGTCCAAAAGTTAAAGAACTTGAAGGATTTCTTGGAATTTTGAGTCGGTAGAATTTTGATCACCATGGGGGAGTGATCAGAAATACCTGGAGCAAGGAAGGTTGCTTCAGAGAAGGAGAAATGCTGATTCCAGAGGTCATTAATGAGCACCCGATCAATCTTGCGAAGTTTGCGATTAACCCCAGAGGAATGAGACCAAGTATATCTACAACCAACATATCGAAGATCCTCTAATCCTGTTTGGTTTAGACAGTCCCCAAACTCATCAAAGGCTGGGATCCATGGAGTTGTGCTACCCACTCTATCATTTGGGTCTCTGATGGCATTGAAATCTCCTGCAACAATCCATGGAGTGTCACATGCAGAAAGCCTAAGAAGGTCAGCCCATAGCAGATGTCGATTCACAAAGGTATGTTCTCCGTATACAATTGTGAGGAGACAAGACTTGTGCTTAATCAAAAGCCTTAGCTGAACATGAATCATTTGGGAGGAAGAGGATATAAGATTTATCTCCAACTCATTCGGGTCCCATCCAATCCATATTCTACCAAGGGGGGAGTATTTATAGTTGGAAATCCACCGTCAATTAGCAGATAGGCCTCTAGATATACCAGCAAAAAGGAGGCTTTAACTTTAGTTTCAATAATACCAACACAGGAAAGCCTGTTAGTCCTAATGAAGTTCCGAATTTCGGCTTGTCTAAGGGGTTCTACTAGGCCCCTAATGTTCCAAGCACCAAAAAACATATGTTTAGGCGGGGAAGATTACCTCTGATATTTCCTTGTCCTCCTCCTCTTAGATTTCTTAGAGGAGGACAGGTTAGGTACCTTTACAGGACAAGCCGAAGTAGGTGTGGTGCCATGAGAGGATTTAGAAGTCTCATCCGTAGCACTGGACGCCATAGTTCGTGAACGAGTATTGGGAGGGGATACAGAAGCTGGTTCCATCTCCAGCAAGTCTTCAGCAACAGTAGTCTTCTCCAATAAAATCCCAGACTCAGAAGAGCCTTCTGTGCAAGACTGTGAACTTTGAGAAGGATCCTCATCCTGCTGATCAATTTGCTCTATAGGATATGTTGCTGGAGTCTGGTTCTGTCCACCCTCTATGTCCTTAGACTGATCCAGGTCAGAACCTATCCGGGCGATAACTCCTGCGGGATTCAAACCAGCAGACGAAAGCTCCATTTCCCCCTGGTTTAGTGCCACTTCATCTTCTGGAGCATGTTGGGCTATCCGGGCGAAATCTCCTGCGGGATTCAAACCAGCAGACGAAAGCTCTTTTTCCCCCTGGTTTAGTGCCACTTGATCTTCTGGAACATGTTGGGGCTGATTAGTATCCTTGCCAAGAGGCAGTTTGCCCTTTTTCCTTGAGACTTGGGTCCACCCATATGTTCCTTAAGGTCTTGAACTAGACTGAGCTCTATGTTCAGTATGTGCAGAAGCGCATTCGAATCCACTGGAACCCAATTTATGACCAAATATACCACAAGAAGAACATACTAAAGGTTTCCACTCATATTCAATGTTGATCACATTCACTTCATCATCCCATCGAAACTTAACTGCTTCTACACGGGGAGTAATGGCCTTAATTTCCACACATACACGAGCATAAGAAATCTGGGTCATAAGTTCTGTTTGCCTATCCACATATAGTGGATTCCCTATAGCGCTGGCTATTCGCCCAATTCCAGCCGGAGACCATAGAGAGAATGGAATATCTCTTAGTCTAACCCAAACCGGGAGGGAATCAAAGGAACCTTTCTTGAGCTTCATTTTCGAGTGCCATTGTTGGAGCAACATTGTGCTACTAAAGATGGAAACTGATCCCGAATCAATAATATTTCTGCGAAATTCAGCATTCGGAACTTGGAAGAAATAAAAACCATTCTCATGTAGCTTTACATCAACTACTTGGTCTCCCCAAGATTTCTTAACTGCTTCTTCGGTTAACTTGAAGGGAACTTTCTTACCAATATAGTGTCCTACAATACATTCCAGCCAACATGGATTCTCATCAGCAACTACCTCTGGTGTGATGTTGACAATGACTTCACCATCTTCCATCAAAGGGGGAACATATGCTAATTGGTATCCTTTAGTCAATATCTTCGCCACATTTGCCCATGTTCGAGCTGCAGGGGCAGGGGCGGGTTGGACTTGAGGATTAGTAGAGTTGTTTGTCGGGACATTGGAATTCCCCATTGAGTTTGGCTTTGGGACAGCTCGACCAGACGGTCCTGCTTGGGCTCGCCTAATAGAACGGTGTCGCGACCTCCCTAAACCGGCCCCGCCGCCTAAGGGGTTAGGCTAATGGATTACTAAGTTAAACTTAGCTCGAGCTCTCCCAAGCTCATACCAATTCGCGACTTAAGTTAAAGTTATTAACATGGAAATCAATTTCACCTAGGAGTCGCCACTAATCAGTTTTTGGTGGGTCGATTAGACACCCAAGCAAAGCAGGGGAGAAATGCTTTACTTCTACGAACCAGAGATTCAATGGGTACGGGGACTTGATTACACTAATTGACCAACTAGTGCCCTTTCAGTACCTAATCTTGCTCAATTCACCACCTAACGTGTTCACACTAACTGGGAGTTTAAAAATTCATTCCTAACCAAGCTAAGGGAAGCAACAATCACTACATGAACCTAACATGCATAATCAACCACATGCGAGTTTAAATTAAACATGCAATTCAAAGCGTGCGAATCAAGCGAGGAGCAATCAAACATACGCTAATCACACAAAAAGGGAGAGAAAAGCAATTCTGAAGCCCAATTTCCAATTTTTGGATTTTCGAAATTTTTCTATTTTTTTTTTTAATTTTCGTTTTTTATTTAAAAAAATAATAATTCCCTAAATCGGCCTATGCTCGGTTTACGTGAACATGAAACAACTCAGGATATGAATATTACGAGAACCGGGCTCAAATCAACCGTTTCAAGATCGAAACTTGGTTTGGGCATTTCGTCGAGCATTTGGTGTGCATTAAAATGCCCCAAATGGCTTCCTCGAGCCATATTCGTGGCCTTCAATCTTACTCCGTGTGTAATATCAAGTGGAACCAAAGTATCAAGGTTATATTATCACATGCAAAGAACAAGATTAGCTAGAAATCACAACCTAAAACGCACGAGAACCAAGTTGGAATCGGCCTCCAATATGTGGGTTCGGGCTGCTTTTGCAAATTTGGGTTTAAACCCAGGTCAAACAAACCTGTTGCATGCCCAGGTTTAAGCCCCGACACTCATCACGTGCAAGATCTATGGGAAACATCACTTCATCTGAGAGAATATACGTAACATCTACTTTTAAATGAAACAAACATCATGGAGAATGATCAAGCGAACACGTCGAAACAACCCCCCCAAGAAGCATACATGCATGGTTCATAATGACTAGCCATGAATCAATGTGGGTTAGCTTGGCTTTTGACTCAAGTTGCAAGCGATCTCATGGTTCACACGGGGCTTCAAAGACCAAACCAAGTGGATCTCAGCCTAATTTGTACACCCATATAACATTCATCAAGCTCACGAAGGTAGAAAACGCATGCAAAGAGGAGTAGCAAGTCAAACATTTAGGGCTCATGAAGGAGCTCTAACACTTAGAAAAATTCCAGCCTCAGAAATCAGTTCTCTGGGCTGGTTTTCTCTTGATTTTTTCATAACTAAAACATATTCAAAATTGAACAAAAATACATGTAGGATACTCACCTTGCTTCCTAGTTTCTCTTTGAAGTATCCCTTGGCCGAGGGAACCAAAAACCTGTCTTCCAAGGGCGCGGGGAACTAGGCTTCTTCAAACTGGAAAATGAGATCTGCAAAGAAGGAACTGACAACGAAGGTTTTTGTTGGTCTCCAAAACCAGAATCAACGACCTCCTTTTCTGACTAATTTGACACTAACCCAAACTAGATGTATTCTAGTTTAATTTTCAAGTCACAGGTATCCTCATATATTCCTCATGTCTCTCAAAAACTCCCACTTTCCCTCACCAGTAACCGTCTGACTTCAACACTTAGAAGATTTCTGGGTTTCTCTCTTGACCCGAGAATGGGCTGCTTTTCGAGGGGATTTTGGATGGCTTCCCGACATCCATTTGGGGCGTGCGACCTATGGTTGGAAAGCTCTTTGAATGTAGTTCCACTCTCTAGTTGAAGGTTTTGGCTAATTTTGTCTCGAAATTCACGAAAATCTCACTTTCCTCTCCAAAAGTCAGTCCGGAACTTTTCTGGGTTTTTCTTTTTTGAGTTGCGTCTGAGGGTGAGTTTTTGGAACGACCGTGAACCCCCTTCCTCTTGTCTCATCCCTTTATTTTTATCCCCCAAAAGAACGTGCTTTAGAGATCCTATCCATCAAATCCAACCCGATTTTTAGCCCGTGATTGCCCACTTACCAAGCCTGCAAACTGAGTCTCTTCACCAACTTTCTGACTCCAAAATCATCATAATTTGCAGCTGTTGAGTGAGCAGGTTTGACTGAGATTATCACGTGTCTTCAGCAGCTTATCCCTGGCAAATTTTTGTCCATTTGCACTCCTAATGATGGTCTCACACCTCGGCCAGAGTTCACGCTGATCGGCTGGCTGAGTAGGATATGGTGGGGCCACAAATTTGGCTACTCAGCAGCCTCGAATTGAGACCAAATCGTGGACCGGTTTTTGGAAGCTAATTTAAGTGCTTTAATCCATTCATTTGGTCGGAATTTTTGATCAGTTTGAAAGTTGAAGTATATTAGTTTAAGATGATAATCAGAATTTGCAATTTTCCATGCCCAAGTTTGCAGGAAAGTCCCTCAAAATTAGCCACTTTCTTGTCCGAGAATGCCCGATTTGAGCCAATTTAGTCCTTTTGGCTTGATCTGATTAATTTTACCTTGCCCGTTTTCAATTTCAAGCTTGATTAGGGGTAAAAATGATGATTTAAGGGCTTGGGGGCAAATTTTACAAATTTTGCGATTTGGTCCCCCAACTTTTGGAAATTGTATTTTGGCCCCAACTTGCTGGTTCATTTGCAATTTGATCCCTCAGGTCTCGGTTAGCTACACTCGAATCCTTGGCCCTTGCTCTTCCGTTTTTTTTTTATAGAATAATTCCAAAATATTTTTGTGGAAAAACAAGCTCCAATTTTTTTGAAAATGATTTTTGGGCAAAAAATTTAGGTGTCAACAAACGGCTTTTATACTTCGATCGACCCCTACTTTGACTACGGCTGGAGTTGCCTTTCAAGAGCCTGGGGCCAGTAGGAGGATCAGTTACATGGTCCATAGAGGTAGATTTACCCCTGTTTTCAAATGTCCTTCGTAAATCCTGAGGAGCATCAATCACCTTTTGAGTCTGGGCAACAGGGGAGGGGCCGAGTAAAGAGTTCGTATTAACCTTCTCCATAGGGTCAACAACAGCACACAACCACTAATTCCACCAGCCAGTCAACCCAAAGCAGCACCATCGACCAAATCAAAAGCCAGCAGCAGGATTCTATCTATCCAGAATAAATGCAACCACTAGAGTACCGAGAACCACCCCCACCACAGAAGAAGGGATACAAAGAGTACCTTCAGGATGGACACTCAGCCTTAATGGAGAGAGGCAGAGGATGCCTTGTCTCCAAGGCTAGCTCCAGTCACCGTCGGAACCCGCCGGAATAGGTCAGACACCGTCGGGTGAGCAGTACCCACGATGAAAACCACCAGAAGGACGAATTCAATTCTGGTCGCCGGCCTTCTATACTGTGAATAAAGAGGATTGCTTTGAAGGGGCAGAGGAAGAGAGTCCAAGGGACCTTGCTTTCGAAAGCCAGCTCCAATCACCAACGGAATTCACCGGAATAGACCGAACACCTTCAGGTGAACAATATCCTCGATGAACACCCCACCAAAAACAAGAATTCAGATCTGGAAGCCCGCCCTCTATACTGAGAACGAAGGGGAATCCTTTGAAGGGGTAGAAGAAAAGAGTCCAAGGGACCTTGCTTCCGAAAACCAGCTCCAATCACCACCGGAATCAGTCGGAAACAGCCTCCCACCGTCAGGTGAACAGTACCCGCGAGGAACCAGTAGAGAGCATTTTCTAAACCGGGTGAACAGTACCAGCGAGATGGTGAGAAATGAAAAGTTCCACTTAAGATAGTTGTTTTTTTTTTGATAACCCAGGAACCCCCGCACGGCCGACAGCCGGAGGGGTAAACCTGGGGTGACGCTAGCGCAGGACCCACCACCACGGCGCCACACTTAAGAATCCCTAACGACTACGCTGGGGTTTGAACTCCGATCCCTTCGTGGGGGGATGAGAGCGCAAGCCAACGCAGCCGCTGCGGGCGGTGGTCACTTAAGATAGTTGTTTTTTTTTTTTGGTAAAGGTAAGAATATGTATTACTTTCCAAAACACCAAATACAACCTAAGCCAAGACCAACACCTGACCCCAATAGGACATAGAATGTCCAAATAAGGTCAAGAAAGGTCTAGCAAGAACTATACAACAAGCCGAAGGGCCAACTAAAAGAAAAGGAACAAAGGGACCGAATTACAAGGACGTATGAGTCACTTCAAAGATTTAAGGTGGAAGGCCCCATTTCCTTTGGAAAATACAGTTCCTAGGAGTATCCTGAACCCTCCCTATGGAGATGGCTTTGTCCTTCACAACTTTGATAAGATGATTGCGCATGCCCGGGATATAAACATTCTTATTCCTGAATATAGCATTGTTCCGTTGAGTCCAGATAATGTGTATGAGTGCTCCAAAGAAGAATCGGGAGAGGTAGAATTGAGCGATCATGATGTTGTCACTAATTCTGCGACCTTTGACGAAAGCAGTTTGGGACGGGTTGATCAGGGCAGGTAGAATGTGTGCAATACGCCTCGCCAAGATTTTAGAAATGCATTTATAGAGTGTATTGCAACAAGCAATCGGCCGGAAGTCGGACATGGTAGAGGCATTAGGAGACTTCGGCACTAGAATTAGAATGGTACAATTTAACTCCTTATGCATGCTGCCAGTCTCAAAAAAATCTCTCACCGCCTTGAGGATAGAAGGCCCAATGATCTCCCAAGAGGATTTGAAGAAGTCAACATTATAGCCATCCGGTCCAGGGGCTTTGCCTTTAGCCAGCGAAAAAAGTGTAGCCTGGATTTCCCCATCAGAAACCGGTTGTGCTATGTAGTTCCGCTGAATATCATCAAGGACCTGTCCAATGAACTCACC